CCACTTTCGACTGTGCTGTCCCAAGTTCATGGCGTTGCTAGACGAATGGCTGGAGCAGAGTTTGAGATTCTTCTGAACATCGTCCGAGAGGCAATTGTATCATTTGTATTCATCACGAGCCGCAGCGCTGGAAGCAGTCAGAGGGTCAGCATCCCTGCATGTAAACAAGCTCGGAAGCTCGGCCTCAGTGGAGAAGAGCAGCCTGCAGGTCTGCAGCCAGATTTAATGCTCGCATGAACTTCACTGGAATGCTTTTAATGTGCATGACCATCCGCCCCACCCAGGAACCTTGAAGGGACACATATTCCTTAGGGCCAACCATTATGCCCCCCCCGCCCCACCCAACAAAGAACACAATCACACTACATGTCCTGATATCAAACCCAGTGCATGGTGGATGTTCCCTGTCTGTAGCCTGAGGCTACCATTGACAGCAGTGACATAGAAACTCTGCAAAAAAACTAAAAACTAAATATCCATCGAGTCAAGCCCAGCTTCATTTTTCCCACGACTACTGGAGTTATATAAAGATTAACTTAAGTACGTGGGCAGAGCTCATCATGCTGCAGCATAAGAAGACAGCAGCAGTCCCATGTGGCTGCAGGGTCTCCAGCTGACCCCTTGTTGCTCTGGCTCCATGCCCACAATAAGTTTTTTTTCAGATCCCCATTAGCTGCATCCATCTTCAAATGCATTGTTGTTTGGGTCCACATGGAAAACATAACATGCCAAACCCCCTTACAATTACAAATACAACAAAGTCTATAATCTATTATCATAGTTCCCATGTTATTGCACGTCTATGTGACCATCTGGTGAAGAGAAAAATGAAGCAGTGCATCTCTCACCCCCTCTGCCAAACATTTTTTAAAAATATTTTTATGCAACATAATAAAAAAATTCACAAGGAAACATTTGCATGCTCTATATCTGAATAATTTCATTGAGATGACTCTGACCTCAAAGAGCAGTCAGAGGTTTCTTTTCATGTTTCATCTCTGCCAAACTACCGGACAGCTGGACGTGTTTTATCCTCATGGGACGCCTCTAGGTCAGTTATCTGGTTATCTGTGTCGGCTTACTGGAATACTGTGCACCCGTTGTAAGATTTCTTGTCTTCACTGCCTCTCCTGAATCCTCAAAAATACTTATATACACACCAACATCTGGCTCTTATTCAGCATCACAATGTGAGAGATTTCAGAAAAAAAAGAAATACTCCCATGCTGATTTCTGCCTCTGTTGGTCTGATGTTCACAGTGACAGTCGATATCTCGCATTTTTTAGTCCAAAGCTGTTTTTGGTTGAAATAACACATTTTGTGCCAAGCGAGCGCGGCTGTTTTTGTTGCCAGCAGTAGAGGTAACAATTATTTTAACCTTCACAGTGTTTTGGGGTTGTTTCATGGAAGTGACTCAGCACATCATAAATGAAAGTTATTCAGGCTTCTGAATCACCAATGCACTGTTGCTTTTGACAACAAAAATGGACCATTTGTGTCATCTATATATGGCCTTTCTCACAGCAGACCTTATGACCTTATGACTAATAACGAGCTCTATTCAAGTGTTCAAGTGAGAGTGACAGTGAGCCGGCATGTACAATACGATCACAATGTATTCTGTAAAAAAGGATCTCTGGGGTCAAGTTTTAAAAAATGATTGATCCTACATTTCCCACATTGCACCTCAATAGCATAATTCATTAGACCCTCTATGGCTGATAAATGACTTTCAAACTTCACACCTCCAGTTTGTAATGCAGACTTTCTGATAAATAAATCTCAAAGGACACCAAGATAACCCTGATGACATCATCAGGAATACACTGATTACCTCAAGTGTGTTTGAAATATCTAAAATAAGTGATTTGTGAAGTGAGGTTTTATTCTCTGCTAGGGACTCTGAATATTCTCAGGCTACACTTCTGTAGACACATAAAACACATCACCTTATTTCAGGCATTTTACAGGAGAGGGCTGACAGAACGGGTTCAGAGCATCAAGTGTGATAGCTTTCATTAACTGAAACTCAGAATCACTCTTATGATGTATCTTTCTGTGATTGAGAGCACACTTTGAATTGAAGACATGCTGGAATACTATAACAACTCTGCTGTTTAACGAGTGAAGAAACAGACAAGAGTAGAAAACAGGAGGCTGAATTTTCTTTTGTTACAGGAATTGGACAAAATGTCAGTAACCAAAGATTGCGGAGTGTATGAGGTAATCCTGCGGCGAGCATATTTTCCCTCCATTTCCTGGCAGCAGAGGAACCCGTGTGCTCCGGAGGGAAGGTGTTCTTTTGTGCGGTGGTAACAGAGCTCACCTCACAGCGGCCCCCCTGGGGCTCTGCTACCTCTGCACACACACACACACACACACACACACACACACACACACACACTCACACACACACACACACACAGCTCCCTGAGTAACAGGGTGGAACCCTCGCACACATAAAGGGCGCTTTGTGCCCCATCTCATGGAGCTGACAACCAACACCAGAGAGCTCCTCACACTGAACACCACTGTTTAGCTAACAGGAGAGCCTAGTCAGAGGACAGACCGCTTTTATGTACACCCACACGAAATGTAGCTGCATCTCCAACTATCTGTGTATCGGTGGCTTCTAAACTGTAATGGAAATGTGAAACTCATAGGGTGAAGGGGGTGTGCATTTTTGGATTTTTTCTTTGTCAAGTTTTCTCCTCAGCGCAGGTGCACGGTGAAGGTCCTCTTCCCTCATCTTCCCCTTTCCTTTCCCTTTGAAAGACATAGTCATCTGTGAGCCTGTCTCTAAGTATTTCCCATAACTGAAAAGAGAGGATGAGAGGATCTTGAAGGTTGAGCCAGGCAGCAGTAGTTTGGCAAGCCAGCAGTAAAAGCAGGACTTCCACTTCTTCTGAAATTCATCCACTCACCTGCAGGATTTCCAGTGAGATGACGGCAGCGCAACCAGTGCCATTGTTCCTGTATCTTTACAACCCATCACCTCACATATGGGCATTGTTTAGAACTTTAAGAGATGCTATCATTAACATGTCTTACATCAACAGTGCTTCAAATGACTAGTGTAAACCATCAGAGTGCCCGGCAGTGTCCCCGGAGGGAGAGTCCACCCCATGTAATGCTGCATGGATGTAAACGCACAGCAGTATTTTACTGACTGTGGACAACACCGGCCCCCGGGCACATATTTGACACCGCTACATGTAAAGATGTTTTGTGGGAGTTAGTGGAGACTTAAAGCAAAGCTAGTGAGAGAGTTATTTTTGGACTTACAATCTTCAAGAAAACAGAAACCCAACTACAAATGTATGCTTATGTGTCTCTGTATCTGCTGAGAGTGAAAATAAGGCAGAGTAGGGCAGGGCAGCCCTAAAATACTACAGACAGGTCTATTGATGGTCTAAATCCAACACCAACATGCATGTTGGCAGGAGTTAATAGATTAAATGTTTTCTTCGCTGCTCCTCAGTCCTCCTCATTGTTGACCGACTGAAGAATCTACCTGAGGCTTTAAGCCACTGCTGGTCATGACCATGCCCACAAAGCACCAGGACGGTCTGAAGCTGCTTTCGTTTTATTCTGTTGAGATTGTTTCTTTTCATCCTGTCTTAGTCACACAAGGACCAAAGGATGTGATCTAGTGAGTTTGAGGGTTCACACCGTCACATTAGGACAATTCCTGTAATCAACCTACTTTATGCTACAATTAGCCTGAATGTTGTACAATACAGCACAACAGAGGTTCAGTCTCCTCATTCATCTCAACAGCTTTATTCAAGTTATAAGACCTAAAGGGCAGTTTAAAGGAGACAACTTTAATACTGCGAGGTAAGTTACAGTTGCACAAATCTGAAGGTTTCTCCAAAAATATTCACTCATTCTGATCACTTCTTCACCTCGAAGCACGGGCTTTATTCAGCATAAGTGCCAAATGATTTATGATATAAAATAATTATATTGTAATTGTAAAGTAACTTAATAGCTTTCATGGTTAACTTGGGGTTTGTACTTTTGTAGCTGAAAAGCTTGACAAATTCCATGAGCATCCCCACAGTATCAGCTTATCTTATCATGCCTGTGCGGTATTTGTGTGGCTGTAACTATACAGCCGTATTTGACTAACTGTGAACACGACTGGCCCGAGCACACGTGTGGCTAATGATGCTTTGTTGGAGTTTTTGTTCCAGTCTGAGGTTATAATTGTAGTTATTAATTAACAGGTTTATATTTATTGTCTCAGAATGTGGGTGCTGTGAAGCCTTTTGAGACGTTAACTGCCATATAAACACATTTGACTTGACTGGTCTAATTGTAATTTGTAAAACAGCAACATTAGAGCCATGTTAAAGGAGCACAGTGAGAATGGCCAGAGTGATCCAACCATAATCCAGTGACCCCCGGATGATCATATTGAAGACACGTGTCAGCGGAAGACATTAAGAGCTACAGAGAAACAGAAGAGTGCAGTTAGAGTGAGCAGAAGAGATGGGATATGCCTTTAACAACAGCGCGAGATCTCCAACTGATTGTCGTCTTCATCCCAAGCACTTAGAAACCAGCCAGCCATGGGAAAAGCACTCACTGCACATGTGGTCAAACCGTCCTTGACTTGTCTCCACATGTTGTTCCTGCTGTACCTCTGGACTTTGGCTTTATTTTACGATCGCTTTGGCTCCGTCTCACTTTTAAATGCTTATTACTGCTAATGTACAGATCGCTGAATAAATACAACACTCCTAATTACTTCACTACCTCTGCATACCTCAAATATGTGAAATCTGAGTTTTAGAGTGAAATTGTTTAGTGTTGAGTGCCAAAATAAAACCATGCATAAAGGATGTATCATGTCAGCAGCATTTTATAACGGTGTAATTATGCAGGGACAGATTTCATACAGGGTAAAATAACTACAACTCTAGATTGACACGAAAACAACCTACAAACAGCAAAATAACAGTGAAGAAAACAGACGTTTCTTTTTGCAGTTAGCTACAAAACCACTTTATTGAAAAAGCAGATTATGTCATCTACGGTTAAATGATACGTCCCGATTTTTAATACATTAAATAACTTTAGACTTTTCATGTTTAGATAAATAGATCTAGTTTCCTTTTTTATGAACCATCTAGGTAATCAAAACACTTCAGAGATACAAAAGATGTGTGACAGATGTGCTTGTTGGAACTACCAGTAGGAGAAGAAGAAGTCTTCTCTTTGCAAGTGATTATTTTGACAGAAAAATAAAATACAAAACTAGCCTCTTTATGTACAGGGTAACTAGCTGTGTGCTATGCAATAGAAACTCAAGTAGTACTTTTTAAAAGGGTGAATTAATTCTCTTTAAAGGGGATACACTCTGATCTTGTTAAGTTTGTCATGGGGGTTGATAATGTGCAGACAAGTAAACAAAAAAAAGAAAAGAAAAAGAGCCTCATTCTTCAAGTATAGCACACATTACTTGACCAGAACCCTCACACAAAATTGAGGTTAATCAAATGACACTGGGAATGTCTCACATACGCAGTCCTTTTCGTTTCTGCTTTTACAAAATATACAACACTAATCATTATTACATGGAATGAATCTCATTACATCGGGTTACATTAGAAAGCACTTTCTGCTTGTGGTGACCCCTACCTTCAGTCACTGTTTTTGACACATTCAGTAGTATTTATTCAGACCTGCTTGTACAGTAATGCAGTATGACGAACAACCAGTGTTTTGCATATAATGCTTGGCGATTGTTTTACTGCGGGAATACCAGATTGGTGGAGTTTGCTACGGTCATAGGATGACATATCAGCAACTGGAACACACCGCCAACATGGTGCTGGACAGATGTTCAAACACACACCAAGAATTAGACACAAACATCTGGAGGGAGGTATAACGCAGTCCTCACTCACAGAGAGAGCAGGTCATTGTGTTGGTTGCTGCGCTGCCCTGCAAACACAGTGATGTGCATGTGCCATGGCCCTGCCACTAGTACACACACACACACACACACACAATGCTGATATTTGAAATAAGCACACATAGTTGGTGTTTATGTACCTCAGATTTTTGCTCGGCGCAAGGGTGACGCAAAGTTTCCTCAATCCCCCCCAAAAAACAACTTGATGACTTGGGACTATTTTTTCCTGCACTACCACAGCTCAGAGTTTCAAGTGTTTTTGTTTTACACACACACACACACACACACACAGGCACACAACCAGCAAGGGAAACATGGGGCGAACTCCCGAAAAACGTGGGTGGGACCAGCAGCTCCGGGTGTTCAGAGACGTCCTCCCACAACACAACAGCAGACTGCACGGCAAACCAGAGCGAGACACACAAACATACTTGTTCTGTCTTAAGGCATGCGGTTCCTCACAGTAACACACTGCACTCTCGGTGCTCATATGACAATAAACAGTGTCTGGAAAGCTTTCCAGGAAACAGTGTCGAGCAAAAGGAATTTGCAAATAAACCATTCAATTAGTTGTATTCCTCTTTGAGTACCAGATGGGCCACATGCAGACAGTGATAGGTGTCAGAACACTTTAAATATAAGTTTATGATTGATGAAATTAGTTTTAGTCCAGATCTTTATCCCTCTGATGAGGCACATGTTTTCTATTTGTCCGAAAGCTACTAGCACTTTCTGTTATATTTTGAACATACAGATGTTTAGCCGGATCTTTTCCATTCAGAGTTCCTAAATGGATTTTCATAGTTTGCGTTTTCTCTGTCCTGAGCTGGCATTTGGTTTCTACGATGACCGCTGAGTTTCTTAGTGTTGCATCACAGGGCCCTAAATCTCAGCATTTAAAGACCCATTTATAGCTAAACGCTCAGATTTTAGGATTAGGTTTAAATCTTAATCCTAGCGCTCAGTGTGAGAACTTGGCAAAATAGTGGCACCCTTGACAGAAGGTCTGAAAAGTCTAAAGGTCCATATAAGGTCCATAAATGCATTTTCACATTTTGTGGGAATTAGGTAGAAGAAGAATACATGGCATTACATAGAACTTCAATTACTGCTTCATTTACAGCCATGAGAGTGCTGGCATCAAATGTAATACAAACATACAGGGTGATCAAGATCTATAACAATGATTTTTCAATTCACTTGTACTTTTTAGTAACTTATATTCACAATGAATGCAATGTTTAACCTGAGCTTTAACCAAAGACGGTGACATTTAAGGTATGCAGAAATGTCTGACTATTACAGCTCTCTACAGTCAGTAGAAAGAGGGGATATGCAAAGTTTAAAAGGAATACATTTGTAGCCAAAAACCTGATTTAGGAACAACAAATTTGGTACTCAAAGTGGAAATAAATAATTGAAGGCGAATACTGTTTGATCCTACAAAGCCAGTGGATCTGTGACCCAGTGACAGACATGAAGAGGCTCCGTGTCCTGGAGGAGAAATGATACAACAGACACAGAATCTCCAGAGGCTTCAGACTGCGTTTCACCTCTGAATCTATCGCGAGTGCAGCAATGAAAAAAAAGAAAGAAAGGAGAATCTACATCTATGATCTTGTGTGGAAAACAGTTGCAAAATATATATTCATATATAAAAGACATTCTATGTGCATCTACAATTTTCTTTTTCCGTCACAATATAATCATTAATTAAGACACTGCTTGTGAATCTCTCCAGGTCTTGTCTAAGACTTCTAAGTGGAATGTCAGTCGGTTCTTTCTTGTGGCGCTACGGTGCATCTGTTATTTCGGGCTGCTGCAGGTTGACGAGCGATGAGCTAATCGTTTTTTTTCTCACAGCCCTGTCTCGTGATGCCGGGTGTGCTTTGCATAGCCTTTAGCAGGACTCCATTTCAGTGTTAGAAGCTGCACGGAGAGAGCCCGCTCTGAAGGCACAGCATGCCCCCCCCGGGAACTGTCCCGTCCAGCCAGCACCGGGAATGTAGTCGTTCGCTCCCCCGGCCTCCCTGACGCCGACGTCAATGGAGTTCTCAGTCGTGACAGCGCTGCAGAATTCACGGCGGTGACCCGCTTCAGTCAGAGCGCAGGAATGGAAAACATGGAAAGGAAGAGAGGGGGAAAGCATGGAGAGAGACGAGTTTGCGTCCTCTCCTCCGGTCCAAAACAACCCCTCTCTTTGATGAATGCGTTGGGGTCAGGCTGTGTGACGTCAACGGGGGCCTCTGGGTGAGCCGCAGCGTTTGCTTTCAGGGTTAGGCACCCAAGGGGAAGGGGGAGGGGGAGGAAAGGACCGCAGATGGAGGAGGAGGGGGACCCCCTTTTTTTTCTCCCCTCCCCAGCCCCGTCATGTGACAGCAGGGCTTGTGGTGGGAGCTGGTGGGAGTTAGTCCACGGCCTGGCCGTCCAGTTGAGGACAGGGGCGGTAGCTCGGATGGCCACACAGAGACTTCCCTGGAGCTGCTGGAGGGGGGTGCGGGCCCTTTCTTTCCCCGCTGCTGGTGTCTCGGATCACCTGGGAGGCAGGGCTACGGTTGCTGCCCACCCTCCTCCCCCTCACAGCTCGGTGACATGGAGGGGGTAGCTGGGGGGCAGGTGGGCAGGGACCTGCGACTGGAGACGGTGGATGTGGCAGCCGTGGCAGAGCAGGTGGCCTTCCAGTGGATAACAGCGGTGGCCCTCCTCGTCGTTTAGCTGGAGACCACAGTCCTAAGAGAGCGGCGTAAAGACACGAAGAAACATGATCAACACCAAGACGACAATCAACTGAATGTGTGTGTGCTTTGTTGATGCAAAATCTATTCAAGGGAATAAATTTGTATTTTGGAAAACATGCTTATAGTTGGATGAGATTGATAACTGTCATATCTCTCCCAGCTGTTTCTCTCCGTTTACAGTCTTTGTGCTGAGCTTACCTGCCAGAGAGCGAGGGAATTAACATTCATACCGAAACACTGAACAATTCCTTTAAGCTTACGTCTGCTGAGTTGCCGCATTTACCGTCGTCACAATAGGCGAGTTTTTACAAGATTGCTGTAACCGCTGAGAGTGAGTTGTTGGGTCTTGGTAGTGGAGGACCGAGTGATGCATCGACAGCGTGACTTCAGTCATGCGGCTGTTTTACTGGACCGTAGCATGAGAGGGTGCTGAGCCCGAAGGCAAAGCTCTGATTCAAGTAGTTCCCTTCAGACTTATTCAGATTCTCCTCCCATGCGTGTGCCGTCTTGTGTATTTGCCTTTGCTTATTTCCTTTTAATGTCTGTGTTGGCACACATGTTTAGGAACACAGCAGGTTCCATACATTTATGAATGAATACACTGAACATTGAACCTGTGGGGGGCATTCTGTACACATCAGACAGGAATGATTGTTTGAGCCTGAGCATGCCGGAGAGAGTTACATAATCTTACCCTCAACCCTTCTGCTGCTATCAAGACTCTGGATAAGCAGCTGAAAATTCATGTATTATAAATGAGTTGAACGCGTGTGGGAATCAGTATTGCTGTGGCTTCCTTGAAAAATATTTGTTTTTGGAGGCACCTCCGGTGTTACAGAATCTGAAAATCTTTTCTTTCCAATAGGTAATAAATGTACAATCTCCAGGATGATTCAGCTCTGGACTTTGCCCTTCCTCTGTCCACGAGTCCCCCTCTGAATCATTACCCGCTGCTTACATAACGATCGGATCGAAGCGGGGACGGCAGCCAGTCAGAGACATCTGCCTCATCCGTCCTTCTGAATTCAGTATTTACAGATCAGAAAGAAATGCTGAATCAAATTCGCTTGTTTCACTAAATCATTCTGTCACACTGCAAACTGCAAACCATCTGACAGAGTTCAGACTGGGATGACTGGGATGACTGGGATTTCACAAGTCTGGCTTGAGCAACAAGTCCCCAGCTGAGTTCAAGGGCTTTGGAATGTGCTTCATCAATGAGTCACAATGTTAAGCTGGAAGCTTGGGTTGGTATCCGTCTGTGTGGGTTTTTTTTCAGTGTGTGTCTCTCATTCATTCAGAGCGACTGCAGCGGTGATTCATGCTCGCCGCCATAAAACGTGTCTGGAGTCTGGTCTCATCCCACGATTGTTACCCAGGTTCATTGTGTCTGTGGGCCAGAGTGGATGCGAACGTGAATGCGTCCATGCACCATCAGGTGTGTGTGGCTCAACAGTGTGAACTGTGTGTGTAAATGTATTCTGCGTCTTTCACAACAGCCTGAACATGTTGAATCACACACAGTGCTGCTCGAATCACATGCATGGTCGACTGCTCTTACTCATACCCCGTGCGTGACTGTGTCTGTGTGTGTGTGTGTGTGTGTGTGTGTGTGTGTGAGGACAGAGTGCAGGCAGGAGGAGCATCTCACCTCACAGTGGTAACACTCCACATGATAGTCCTTGTCCATAGAAACGACCCGGATGGTTTCCTCGGAGCCCTGCGGGGACAAACACACAGTCAGACTCTCGTGTCTCATTAAAGTGATGGTCAGATAACCAGCAGGTCTCAGGTTTGACCTCTGCAGCGCCAGCATGTGTCTTTGTAGACAGTGTTGGTCATGTGGTCAGTATATTACTTAGAGATGACAAACCCAACAGATATGCAAGATATGTTCAAACTCCCTTACCTGGGCTGGGAGGATGGGCTGGTTGCAGGAGGCACACTTGGGAGCAAACACCCTGTCATGGAAGAGATAACAACAGTTACAGACTTGAAAATGTCTCCAGTCTCTGTGTAGTGCAAATCTTCATTGTCTACAATTGTTTTTCTGCTTGACACAAAAAGGGAAAACTAGCACGGTTCTCATTTTCCCTGACGGATTTAGTGTTTCCCATTGATCACCCACAGTCTGGGTAGACCCGCCACGGTTTCATAATGTACTCAGAATATCTTTACACTTCTCAACGGGTGGGGTTTGCACAGTCCGCCTGTGGTATTCAACTCAGCGGGTCAGGGACGGCCGCTCGGTGTGGAAGGATCCCCTTTTGGGACCTCTGCTAGTCCTTGCCGCAACTGGCTCTAGATGGGCTTGAAAAGGCTCAGGGTGAAGTTGGCCTGCAGCTCCTTGAGCTTTACGGCACACCTCGCTGCTTCCGTGGCTGTGGACTTAAGTGTTTGCTGCCTGTGCGATGTTGGCAACGCACACGACCGGTCTCGAAACATGGACCCCGTCTTGTTTACCATGCTTTACCATTCACATCCATACAAGCAATGTGTTTATTGTTAAATAAATTATTAAATTAAATATTTAAGCATAAAGTTCTCCATAGAACAAAGTGCACAAACATCGTGCAGCCATCATGGTAATCATACATTTTGTGACTGCTATTTCACAATTTTCCCTTTTGTGCTTGTTTGCAAATCTCAGGCGATATTCTGTGATGCAGTTATCTCATTTTGTCAGCGTGCAGAGCGGAGAGCTGTTCTCCTTACGTGTGGTAGTCTTTGACACAGTAGATGTTGTTCTCAACGTCCACGGTGAAAGGCACTCCATCTAGACCCTCTTTACACACCACGCAGCGGAAACAGCCAGGATGGTAGGCCTTGCCCAGAGCCTGGAGGATCTAGACACACACACACACACACACACACACACACACGCAGGAGATAACGGTAAGACTTGGTAGTGAGGCCAAGTAACACACGATGGGCTGCCATCACAGATATTTCTTAACCCAGCGGGGCTTTGTGTAGCAAATAAGGCCCAAGATTGTGAGAGACTGAAAATGTAAAAGTTTCATCTACCAAGTTGAGATTTTATGTCTGCACCATACCGTAGTAACTTTGCTGGGGAAATGTAAATCATTATACATCTGCTCACTCTTTCATGCTTTACGTGCTCTGTTAGATAAAGCTCCTACCATCTCCATGATGAGGTGACCACACACGAAACACTTCTCGGCCGTCTGCTGGAAGCCAGAGTACTGAAAGACAAGACACAGGGCGTATTATCTTCAGCGGTACATTTTAGAGGATTTTCTGTTGGCCATGCAATCGGTCGGACTGCTTCACACCTGATGCATGCACTTGTTTCAGTCCAGGACCCATCTATAGAGGGTGCTGCTGCGCTCTTTAAGAGAACATGAAAAGGATTTCTATTCAGAATCCTTTTGTCTCTCAGCTGACATGTTCGCCAGATAGCTGTGACCGGTGGCGTCTCACCGAATGGGTTTTTGTTATCTTCCTTTTACTGCTGTTTTTCCTCAAGGCCCTCCATTATATTCATACAGTTAAATCCATCCACATTTGAGAATTGACATGTTTTTGTTGGCCAGTGAGCATCTCCACTGGAACAACTGGGTGTGAAGGGCCTTCTGCGTGTTAACAGGAAAACAAAATATCAGTAGCTCCTTTCCCTTAAACCCAGAGCACAGGAGGATAATGATGGAGACCATCTGCATCTCACAACCCCCTCAGGGTCATGACCTGATGACTCGGGGGAGTGGCTACCAGGTGAAGGTGGCGATGGGCAGGCTGCCCCCTGCCCTGACATCTCAACTCCAGATCTACCATCTGCCACGGCCTCCCTCCCACCCTCGAGACACCCCCGGGGGTGACGAGCCAGACTAGTCAAGTCTTAGCTGTATCGGGGGGGGGGGGGGGGAGATTAGCCTCAACTGACCTCCAGCATCAGTTCATCACTGACGGGCAGCGATTGTAAAGTGCAAGACAGGAATTTTAGTATTTCCCCAACAGATTAGCAAGTTAAACTCGAAGGGGAAGCTGCCTATAAACAGGAAGTACAGACAGCGTTGAGCGTGAGGTTGTTTGGATGATAAAGCGGTTTTCAACATTTATGTTACAGGAACCTTTTGTAAGCACCTTCCTCCATGTTTGCAATTCACTCCCTGTCTCATTTTATTGTCCTTGGTCTTAATAACAGCATCGCATACAGCTACAAAACGTAATGACCAGAAACTGGAGATCTTTGAGTCCATCTACATTAAACTTATTACAACGTTTCTCATTACAACGTTTCCGTGAAAGCAGGCTCCGTGTCTGCCCTGTTAACCAGAAGCAGATGGACCAGGAGCCTGAGAGCTACAGCTGTCGCCCTCCTCTCTTAATTGTAGGCGCTGAGGAGCAGCTCGTGGGGTAATTGAGCTCCTTGGGGAAATGTTGGGGAAATTAGTGTGAATTGGAGGGGTGGTGCCGAACTCCTAATTACAGCTGCCTTGTCCGTTTCCTCTGGAGATCTGCAGAAATGTAGCCTGAGATCCTAATCCCTCGCTCTCTGCTCCGCCCAGCAGGCTGTCAGCCCAACCATGAGGCCGTGACACGGTGCTACCAGCTGATCATCACAGAACACAATCAATAATCATGAACACACAGGTGAATTACCAGGAAATCCTCCTCACAGTAGACCTTCCCGTTGACGTTGTAGAAGGCTTTCCCTCGCAGCCTCCGTCCTGAAAACAAAGAAAAAACAGTGAAATCGACATATTGTGTTTAGCCAATGTGCTGTTGCAGATATACGGCTTAAAGGAGGTGGGAAAACCCTTTTATTCACTTTGGTTTGGGAATATTTTTTATAGTTTGGGCTGGAAAATCTTAATCCCACGCCATACAATTATAAAAAAACAGTTGGAGACTGAACTTTCCAAATTTTAACATGACAATGCCATAATGTACAAAGTCAGATCCATAAACTCCACTGGCCTGCACAGAGCCCAGACTTGACCCCATCTAACGCTGAATGAGAGCCAGTGCCCATCCTCACCAAATCCTAGTCACACCAGCATTTCAAAATCAGTGCTAACGTTTTGCTTTGCATTCAGCTTTGGTGAACTTTAAACTGTAGATTTGCTCCATTGACCAATAGCAAGCAGTCTTAACAGCGCTCAATTTTGGAGGGGATGGAGAGCGGGAGAGTCCAAAAAAGAAGAAGCTGTCGTAGCTGAATTAGCAGAATGTTGCAACCTCTTCTGTCAAAAATGAAACCGTTCCACAACAACAAAACAGAATTGACACTTATGAGACGGAAGTCAAAGGTAGAAATACTTTTTTTGAATAAACTCAGACAAACTTATTGTCTGTTAGCAGCCTAAGGCTAAGCTAACAAACTTTATTCACCTTAACTTTACCTACGCTTTCATCAACAACTTTTTACCGAACAAAATGGTGTACAATGTTGAAAAAAAAGCGCCCTGGGAGGTGTAAACTGAATAGATTATGTCAGACACAGCACTCCGAATGACATTTTGACTCTATTTCGGAGACCCTTTATACTGTATGCCTCTTCCTTCATCTCTCAACTTTACAACCTCAACAGAAGGTCAGTGTAGAGCAGATGGCCGGCCGAAGGTAATCGGCATCCTGCCTGTGCCTCCGTTTAATTACTTCGAGCATTGATCGTAACAGGATTCCATTCACAAGCCGTACACAATCAATACAGCAGACTGCTTTCAAAACCTCCCCCAAAAATCTGTCCTCCTCCCTTGCCTGCCATTGTGCGCCGTTCACAGACAGACCAACAATAGCAGGCTGGAGGGAGGATGTCCCTCACTTTGACAGACGCATCGAGCCGAAACGATTAATCGAATAGCACACTGAAATGTATCACTTTGATTAAAGGTGTTGGTCATTCATCAAGATGCAAGATGCTGCTACTATTGGCGGCTGGTTAGGCTGATGAAGCTACTTTGAAACATCACTTTTGTTGGTCTCAAATATCATGAATCCAATCAATAGTAGTCCTACACCTTGCAAACACGTCCGCAGAAACATGCCCACGCCACAGCGGGCCCAGGTTCAGCATACTGAGCTTCCAAGTTCCGAGTGTGAGGGCTGAATTCCTCTTAGTGAGTCTTCATTCATCAGAATCCAAGTCCGAATCCAACCTAAAAGGAAATTCTGCTGTGGGGCTGGCTTCTGCAGCCCCCTGCCATGCACCCCTCACAGCTCGCCCATTCAAATTCATTTAACAGCAGCGGTGTCTCTCTGGCAGCGCGATGACTTCACCCGAGCCTGGCAGACGAAGCGCACAGATCTCATAAATCTGCTGGATTAGTCAGATTTAATTGTCGTCCCGAGCCACCGCTGATTTTATGGGTGTCCCGGCATGGGAAAGACGTGCCCCCCCCCTTCTCTCTTTTTAACACTGAAAATTTATGCAATCGCTGTATTTCACACACAAACCCAGTGTCACAATGCTGGGACACGGCAATACATTAACACCCACATAAATGGCTGCAGCAGCCGAGGAATGCTGTCCACACAATAGGTGAGACTTTTAAGACTTTGAGACTGAGGAGCAATTAGCATTTTGGTAGGCAAAGAGAAAAGCGGGACAGAGGAAGAACTCCATGTGAAGCAACTCCTGAGAGACACTGTCTTCAAAGCCGAGACGTCGGGAGAGGCTAAACTTGCAGGAACAGTGAGATTACGGCGAACAGTGCAGCAGCGGGGGCTGCGAGATGTTGCTGTGTGCTCGTCTGTGGCCTCTGCTCTGGAGTTTTGGGGTCTGGAAGGTGAACACAAAGGCCCCAGCGCTGATGAGTGTGGAGCGCTGCTAGGGGAGCGGGCCGACTGAGCAAGCGGGGACATTCTTTCTGTCTGAGGTCACTAGCTGGTCCCATTCAACCCCCCACACCTCTCCAACACCCACTCTCTGCCCGCTTCCTCGCCGCCGAGCAAAGGAGGGGGGAGGGCTCGCTCGCTCTCTCTCTCTCTCTCTCTCTCTCTCTCTCTCTCTC